TAGAGGTTGTTGTCGAATGGCTACACACCGCTTCCAACACGAAAATTCAATATCCTGTCTTCTTGTAACGTGGTCAGTTTATCATTCAACGTGACTGCAATTTCTTTTATGCGTGCACTTTATACTTTTCCTTCATTTATTCATGTTTCATATTTATACAACTAATCAACTACATGGAGAAGAGTCCACCTTGAAGAAGCTCAAAGTCTCTCAGTTAACCAAGGGCTCTTTATGGAACCCGAAACTTCATTACCTTATTCATGAGAGCATTTTAAGAATGAGTAATAATTTGCAGGCACGAAAGACATCTGATATATTACGAGTAACGCATGATTTAAAAATCTCACAATATAACAAATATAAAAATATTAAAAATATAGAAGCAATTTTGACTAAGAAACTCGAGGGAGAAGAAATTTTCTCATGAAATTTTCGACCAGTGTATGGGACCGGTGCGAACCCAGCATCGTGAGGAAATTGGGGAGCTACAATGAGTAGCGTAATCCGGTCAGGAAAACTAGCAATGGCTGGGGGTTCGTCGTGCTGACCACACGTCACCCTATATCTGGTTGGATGATCGTTCACCTCTGCTTAGGCATGTGAACGTGAGGCCAGCAGTCAAGCTAGTCGGCTTTGGCTCTCTGGAGCTGTTACGCCACGGATTTATTTATTTATTATTTTGACTAAGAAAAGTAGCAGAGGCCGATGAATTAACAAAACAGAGCTGAACAAGTTTTCGCTGTTATTGCCACCATTTGTGAAGTGATAAATGTTTTAACCGTATCTAACTTTCAAAAGTAGCAGGTATTTTGTATTGTCCGATGTATGCCCATTAGGTTCCAGCACAGATCATAAGATTCATTGTCTCAGAAATCTCAAATGGCACAGGCTTGTGGGCTTAGTCCATGGTAACCGAAGAAGAATTGATTTCTCTCACCATGCGACGTCATGTGGCAGAATGGTCATTTTCAGTGTCCTTCTGCGTCCAAAAACTGAAAATGGAGACATGGCAAGGAACGTGAAACACTTATTTAATTCTTAGCACTGCAACTGTTATCCATTCAGTTGACATCTGGATCCTCCAGCAACCTAATACTTAAGTTACTGTCTTCATGGGTCGTTTATTTTTGGTCAGTTTTGGCGCTCTACTTCCTAGAATTACAGCGCCAAAGTGACTTGAACATTGGCAATATTCCCAAGTGTTCTGGAAGGTCCGGATGGCAGATTGCCAAAAAACGATCCCTCGGGGAAATGGTTCTTTTCTTTAATGCAAAAAGAAGATGCGAACGGAAGAAAATCTGAGACGACTTCCTTTCCCTTCTGTTGCAGTAAACTGTCGAAGTGCGATGTGCTGGACGAATAATGAACCAGTTAAATCCAGTGTACATCATCACTATTCTTTTATATAATTTTAAAACTTTTCTCCCGTACACACATACCCAAAATCCGTCCAAGTCCAGCCCAAAAACACACACACACACACACACACACACTCGTCTTAGGTAAAAACCCGTTTTTCTTCTTTTACTGGATACCTGAGTTTTCTAATAAACGGACCAATAAAATGATTATAATTCTTCAAAGAGTTTTATTTTTATATTCCAGGCGAATATTTAAAACAATTCACGAAAAACATATCCATCCTCCCCTTAAAAATCGATTTCGTTATTACCAAGTATGTTCCAACATGAGTATAGCAAATTGAACCTTTTAAATTATTATTTACATACAAACAGTCTGTTGGTTTCTTCCGCAAACAAAATTAGTCCGTATTCCAGGCACAGAGGAGGCAAAGCCGTGATATGTAACCAACTGCATAAATCCCATAAGATAACATGACGCTCTACCACATAAATTCAGACCACTGGAGAACCCTTTATGTCCTGGTTTGGAAATTTTTACAGTCTGCTGTACCGTAAAAAGACTGGAGTACGACTATACAGTTTCATGAGAAAACAATTTTACCTTCTCGGGAAATATATTCATAGGACAAGTAGAGATTGCTCCCTAGCTCTACGGGCTGTCGATACAAGCATGACAGTGTGTACATCACTAGGCCAACTTCCAGGCTCCGAGTAAAAAAATAAAAATAAAAAATAAAATAAAAATAGCTTCCACGTTACTGTTTCGTATGTTCATCCATATGCATATCAAATCTTCAATTCAAATTCAGAGAGCTAGGCACTTTGTATATTCTTCTGTTGTTTCTCTTGATTTGATCACCACACTAACCAGTGGGCCGTGAGGGGAGGGGGAGGCTCGTTCCTACACCTGTGTATTTTATCGATCCGAAAAGCGGGGGCGGGGATTTTAGGTTTCGGGGAAGGCGGAGTGCAGATATCCCGGGGTCTCCTAGGCGACGGACGGGATAGAATGGGTCGCCCCTACAAAACATGAAAGACTCATCAAGAGTCGGGCTTTACACAACTCCGAGCCCCTGAATGTGGGAGAGTGCATTTCACTAGACCCTGTAATCCTTTCTCAGTTTGCGTGTCTGAACATCCCATCCACACGCAACCGGATACCGACCAGTTTTCACACGGACACGAGATTTATGGATGATTCCTACAGACCAATTTGTATCCGACGAAAGAGATAAATGTCTGAATGGCAGTGAAATCATAAATCAACTTGAAACTAATCTGATCCTAGTCGACAAGAACAATTTTATATTTTTAGAAACTTGTTATAACAGAAGGTCAAAGGTTGAAGAAATAATTACAATTTCCCGATGTCTGAAAGCACGGATATCCGCTCACAGTTGAATTCTGTTTTACAGCACTGACCCCAACGATACATGGTTTTACCTATAGTTTAATTTTCTACGAGACTTGCGATTATGACTGACAATGCCAGAAAATGATGTGGATTGTGGAATGGAGAGAAGACCGATCACACATCTTGCAGGACAGCGGCAGCTACGCACACAATAGGAACCGATAGGGTTTGAACCTGGACCTATAACAAACTAGGGTCCTTCAGAATTTTATAGTGCGCTCAGCTAGCCAATAAATTACCCACTTTTAATTAAACTGGAAAGTTAGTTACCGTGTTCACAAAGCCTACCATTGGTCCCTATCCTGAGCCAGGTGAATCCAATACACAGCCTCTGACTCTATTTCCCTAAGATCCATTTATGCGTCCATCATTCGAGGGGTCTCTTCCCATCAGGCTTCCCGACCAAAATGTTGTATGCATTTCTGATCTTCCCCGTTCCTGCTTCATGCTCATATCGTCCCACTGGGTTCATGTGGAAAAATATTTGGCGAAGAGTACAAACCTTGGAACTCATCATTCACCTTTCTTCAGCCTCCCTACCAAGCCCAAATATTCTCAGTATCGTGTTCTCAAACGCCCTTAATATGCATTTTTCTCTCAAAGTGACGAACCAAGTTTCATACTTATACAAAACGACAGGTAAAATCTCATTTCTAAGAACTTGTGTCTATAGCTGCACTAACTCACTCTGCATATAATTCAGATTTCTGAGAACATTTAAGAAATTGTAGGATCATCTATACAGTGGGCAAGTTTAAGAATATGACCGTCTTCAGGGCGATGATCGCCCGATGATGGGGACAACAAGCGTTTCTCAAATGCTGGTAAACTTCTACCAGATTGTACGGCGTAACAACCCAGAAGATTGCCATAAGCTTTTAAATCCAACGATGTTCAAATTTTATCTCTGTTTTTGAGCGTACTACAATGTATGCAACAAAATTAATGACGGTATCGGTACTTAAAATTGCGATCTAAGGGCGTGAATCAAGTTACATGGTAGTACTATTACCTCTGTCTAAAATCAATAAATGGTAATAAGTTTAAACTATTAACTTGCATTCAAATAGCGTAGATTGCAAAACCTGATAGCAAACATCAACACCCCTGTCACTTCTTGGATGGCTTAACCGAATTTACGACTTACTTTCTATGGTATACATCGAAATGTTGCTGCAGTGGACAGCGTCTTTCCATTTTGCATGCGAAACTGTTTGGCCTGCTTCCCATAACGCAGCACGTTATAACGAGAATGCAATCATTTCCATACATTACCATACAACACCTCGTATATCCCCCAGTATTCATGGAATGTATAATCTTTTTTTATGTCCAGGAGATTATGATCCGTAATTTACTACATGGAACGCAGTACGGATCCTATAAAAAATGGCCTTCAGTTTTGAAGTGACACGAATATATTTATTCCTTCAAGTAGAGAATCTGATACAATCTATTGCTTCTGCTCCTGGTATTATTATTATTATCTTTGTTTTATCGCTTGTTCGCCACATACATGCATTCATTCGGAGCTTCGCTAAACAGAAGTATTTCTGTAATACGTCGGGTGCTATGAACAGGATTGTCTCCAGTTCCATGGTTCGATTCCAGCAGCCTTCTTATGCTTCTCTAGGTGCCGAGTTCAGTATTCGGTTGTCTTTCCAATAACTGTTTACTTATTTAACTTAACTTAGCCAACTAAACTGTATACTAACACTATGCATACAAAAATTATTACTAAAATGTTGTCATTGGTATAAACAAACGTAATTTTACATTTTATATCCACGGATAGGAGGCTACTGTTCAGAACAAAAGCTAAATTTCTCGTTTATGTAATGGAAATGGTATAGATGTACATTAATGGAGTTAAATAATTTCTCTGCAGAGGTACCTATTAGTTTCATTTGGAGGAAGGATGGGTCTACTTCGAACAAATTCAGCATGGGCCTCGCAAGCAGAATTCTCTGCAATAGCATTATTAACTGTTCTCAAAATGTTCAGACACGCTTTCTCACATCTAATTATATGTGTATCATAAAAATGATAAGGCAGATCAAAGTTAGTTGTGCTACGGACCTTGAAACTTGAATTCGAGTTAGAATCGAGATTTCACGCCATTCAGAACTATTCCTATCTCGACCTGAATCGAAATCTTTCGGAAGCAAATCACTGATCTTGTTGATAAATATAAGAATTTGAGTTTCTCTTTGTTGGAGCAGATTCTCAGCAACAGACCGATGAGCATCGCTAGTGGCGACGGTAACAGAGAGTTGGAGACGGACTGGCAACACAGCGAATTCATCACCGAATGCCTCAACTGGCACAACGTGTACCGACAGCGACACGGCGCACCGCCACTAACACTCTGCCCTCAGGTATGCGTTGTGTATGTGTTCTTACTATATTTACTTCAGGTAGTGTCACGCTGTTCGTTCACTTATGCAGAAACGTACAACTAACCTTCATAACTACACATATGTGAAATTTCAGGTTATCACGATAGCGAGTATGAAGATGACTGTCTTCTGGGTTGTTGTGCCGTACAGTCTCATTGAATTTGACCGACGTTCACTAACTCCATCATCAGGGCGATCATCATCGCCCTGACGATGGAGGAGGTCAGCACCTCTAAATCGAAGGTAAATTTGTACTTGACTACACAGCGCAGAAGGCAGCCATTTTCAATTGCAGATGTGTCTAGTTACTGGATTGCACGTGGGTTATTAATGTCCGCGAGCCACGAGTCGGCCGTTGCTTCTGTGGCAGGGGGAAAAGTGGGTTCTGCTCATGCGCTGGTGATATATTCCTTAAGAACATTGAGCTATCAGTCAGTACATTAGCTCACGACGTAGGGTCGGTATAAGCTAGGGGTGTTTTCGGTCCGCTAGTAGCACAGAATCCTATCCCACTTCCCTCAAAGATGTCAGGTCTACTCTCGAGGCTCGAGTACATTAGTGTTATGGGTCCACGAAAATGTATCTGAAACTGAATTTAGACGCTCGTAGTCTAGTTTTAATTAACCTACTGCTGTATGTTTCAGTTATGTGCCCTAGCGCAGTCGTGGGCCAACCACCTGGCTCACATCAACACATTCTATTACCGCAACAATCGAGACGTGGGCCAGAACTTGTTCTGCAGACCTACCAACTCCATCCAGACTGACGTCACGGGTAATATATTAAATGTTGGGAACCCAAAGAAGCGGGGAACTGAATTTAAACGCGAGCATTGTTAAGCTCACACAAGAATAGTTTTTGGTTGCTTCCTAACTTTCTCCAGGACAATGCTTGGTTTCGTCGTATTTACTAGTTCTCGAATTCGAGTGTCAGTTAAGAAACCGGCTATCCTAACTGAGGTTGATCGTGGTTTGTTTCAGTCCCTACATATTATCCGAAACCTTGAAATAGAAGACAGCCTCCTCCTTCGGCAGGAAAGGAACTTGTTCAGTGTTGGATAACGTCTTAGGTGGGCCACTTCTTCTTTCTCAGGCACTGCTTAATGACAGATCGGTATCTGTGAAGCGAATTCCCATTAATTATATTAGAAGGCATTTATATTGTTATATTATGTCTTAAGTGCTTTTGTTGTTGAACACTGTTGACAATAACTAACTAACTGGATGGCTTAGGAAACCTGCAGGTTCATCAACGAATTAACCAAAGCCCTCCTCCGGTCCCTGTCCTGGGCCAGCAAAATCCAGTCGCCTTCAACTCCTATATCCCAGAGATCCCGCTTAATATTATATTCCCATCTACGTCTAGGTCACCCTAGCGGTCTCCTCCCTTTAGGCTTCCCGACCAAACCAATTCCCGGTGCAAACCTCTTGCCCCGCCCATCTCATTATTCTTGACTTAATCACCTTGCCGATATTGGGGGAGGAGTTAGTTAATTAGAGTGTAATAATGTAATTTTAAATTTACAATTGCGGAGTTTACCGAAAATATTTTTAAACGGAGTCCCCACTTATGATAAAAGTTTTCAACGAAGAGAAGGAACCAGAAAAATGCACATAATCTTGCATCAATGTTAAGGTCTTACATAAACTATATTGGCTTTCTGGTCCAAGCCCCATTGGATTCACTTACTGGTATTTAATTGTACAAAACAGTACGAAAAAAGGAAATTTTGTTCGCAGAAATGATTTGCGCTAAGTTTCGTAGAACTAGCAGACATACAGTCAGCACTATGGGCCATCAGGTTTAAGTGCGAAAACTTTCTTTTCTCGAAGGCAGTTTTTCCCCCAAAATAAACATCCTCGTACAGAGGACCTCCATGCACACTATTCCATTTGCACCCGTCACCCGATATTGTGAGAGTAATGAAATCAGCGAACATAAGTTGGTTGGAGGAAATACGTAAAGGGAAAACATCTTATATGAGAGCGGGGCACCAGAAAATCTCTCATTCGCCGCGGGCAAGTTAACAGAGACAAATACAAAACATTTGTATGACGCATCATGCTATGAATTTACGGAAACGTATAATTTTTTACGTGGCTGGTAGATTTAAGTTGTATTTCTGCAGCTCTGGATGACAGGATACTATTCAGACTGATCTTACAGACGTAATATAAGCATTGTATGCATTTCAGAAGAGGCCCGCTTCTGTAAAAATTTAGCCATCATGTTCCATTAAACGTTCATTTATTTACCAGCTGAGAAAAACTTTTCAAAGAAGACTCTCTTTCACGAAGTTAGCAAGGACGAAAAGGTGAGAGAGTGTTGTTTGGCGTACTAATAGTGTTTGTTTGTACCCACAGGTCAGGAAGTGGCGTCATACTGGTACAGCGCAGTGCGCCAGTATAATTACACGAAGGAACCAGACGTGTTGCATGCCAATGTTAATGCAGGTAAGATACAAGCACATTTTTTCCGACATGAAGTCGCAAAGAACGAATTATCGAGTCCTGAGGCACAGACAACAAACACAGTTCATTGTAAACACAACAGGTCTTCATGTGCCGATGTCTGAGGCCTTGCAGTAGGCTGACTTGAAATCCATGGAGTCCTGCCAAACGTCGAAAAACCACCTTTTCTTAACCTCACTTGCAGGAGGCAGCCTTGGCCCTCTATGATCTGTAGAGTCACTGGCAAAGAAACAAAAACAGACCCTCATATACAGAGAGAGGGAGTGGCGTCTTGCCCCCACAATGTTGTGGATTGCTCTGTGACCCACATGAATCTCTCTTGCAAGCAAAAATCATTTAAACTTTTAACAATGTTCCATTCGGGTCAAACATAAAGGTTCATTCATTCAAATATCGATGCACCATCGGAAGAATTCGTGAGTAAATTGCCCCTAGTTTTTTTATTGCAGATTCATTTCATCACCTTTTTGTTCGCACGTTTCACTTTAAGCGATTTTGATTCGTATCTACTTCAAACGCTGTAGTCTTCACAAAATTATCTTACTAGTTGTGCAAAAATAGCAACCAGAACTTGCCTTCATTTTTAAAAAATTCAGTAAAAGTGTTGGACACTTCAAAAACGAGAGGCCTATACCTTTCGATAGGATTCATTGTCGCCGGAAACGGAAAACGTGTGTTGCCATGTTGCAATATGAGTATCCGCTTCATCACATAACACGATAAGTGTAAGTTACGTGACACCCCACCAACTACTGAAATAAGTCATCAGTAACAAGTCATTGGTGCACATGTTTCGTTTGCTGCTTTTCTCGCCGAAAATATTTACAGAAACTGTGTTGATAACATTTTGTTTCAGAACAAATGTCTCCCTCCAACATGTTTTGTAAAAAGAGGGCACTGCTGATTAAAAGATGAAATATGGAACATCTGTTCATTTCTTTGTAAGCTGGTCGGGACAAGATGAAAAGAACAGACGGCATTAGTCCAGAATTATTATCTAGTTACAAATTCGTTTTGAGATTCAATGGAACACATTCCTGCACACACTTCGTAACTACCAGTCTGGCAGGACTACCAAAGGATCAACACTGATCAGTTCTTTGTGAACATATTTATTTACGTTTATTTCTGTACGAAACAATGTTTCACACCTTTTCATATAGAAAAAAATAACAATCTTCAGTTCTGTTAAGTGTCATTCTTCTTGGGATTCTATGATGAATGTCGTTTCTGTTTTTCGTGTGGTTCCAACTCAACTGGCCAAAACATTCTCAAAAAATTTAATAGCAAGTTATGGCCACTGCTTATACTAACTTCATGTCATAGTCATGTAATTTTCTTTGTCCATGTTTTCTTCCAGATCAGTTTGTTTAGAATTTCTACGTTACTTCTCTAGAACCCAAACGTGCACGTTCGCTCTGTGCGCATGTGGCTTGCTCATTCTTTTCTGCATATTGCGCAGGTCACTTCACACAGCTGGTATGGGTGTCAACCCGGCACTTCGGTGTAGGAAAAGCTAGAAGCAGGTCGGGTAAAGTAATGGTCGTGGCGCACTATCGCCCGCCTGGGAACATTTCAGGCCTCTTTCAACAGAACGTCCTTCCACCGCTACCTGACTACGACGCTGAAATGACGAGCGAATCAGGAAGCGAATCCAGCACCTCACGTAGCACAGAATACTGCACGTAGCGAGCTACATGACGTCATTTGGTTATACTACGTATCCACAGTGTCTGAAAGATGCTGTATCACCATTCTCAAAAAGGAGAATGGCAAGAGTTTTCTGTCAGAAGTTGGAGGATCATGGTTCTGACGTAAGATATAACCGGAAATGTCTGCTACAGTCATTTATGTTTTGAATAGGCAACTTGAAGAAAAAGATAACAAGGAGTCTTGTACAGTACACGCACTGAGCATCAGAATGGCGGAAATACGATATATCGGAATATTCTGTTAATTAGACGGTATTTACGAAAGTCCATGTTGGTTTAAGACGGAAGTCTGGCACACCTTTTATTACTTCTAGTATCTAACCATCTGCTTTTCTGTGACTGAATAAACCGTTACAGATTGAAGTGAATGTTTCATTTTTCTGATATTATGGAACTCGAGTACAGTAACAGTTTAGACGCATTAATAGTACACCACAAAATGGGTGAATAATTAACCAAACACAGTCACTTCATTCTCATTCGTTGATTTATTGTTCCTGTTTCTTGTAGGATCTGAGGTTTTCATGGTGGAATGTATGAAGATGGCTGCCGTCTTCTGGGTTGTAATGCCATATAGTCTGGTAAAAGTTTACTAACATTTCAAAGCTACTTGCATCATCAGGGTGCTGATAAAGGCAGCAAGTACCTCTGAAACACTGACAAACTTTTACCAGACTACATGGCATTACAACCCAGAAGACAGCAGCCATCTTCTGTCTTTTTCATGTTTCCTTTTTACTATTCGCTTATTTCAATCAGTATTGTTCACTTCAAAATCAACTGCTACCCAAAAACAAACTTTTAGTTGGAAAACTCAGGATAAGGTCTAGTGCCAGGCTTTCAGTTAGCTATTCATGTTACATGAAGTATTGTGTGTTTCCCAGCAGAGGCTTATGGTCTAGGTTAGTAAGTGCCATGTTACAAAGAGGATTAATGTACGCCCAATAAATGAATGACTACTCGTGTAAAATTGTAAGAAAGTAATATACATGAACTTACACATTTTGTTAGAGCGTTGTACTGCTAATGTTTCATACACACAATAGGTGATGTCCACGATAAAACTTGGTGCTGTTTTAGAATCACGCCATGCGTGAACTGCATATCACATAGAACTTCGCAGCTTGGCTCAATAATTGTTTAATTAAGGTAACATGAATTAACGAAATAAAGCTTTCAAATATATTAATGTAGTTAGCATATAGTTTGCTGTACAATCAATATGTAACTATATGAACTGTGATAACATTTAGAATATAAATGGCAATGATTTTTTTTATAATGGATAAGTACAAAAGAGCTATTATGAACTTTTATTACTTGATTTATAATGATAAGCTTCACAATGTTCCTGTAAAGCAGAAAACTGTTACTAATATTATGGCAAGCAGCAAAGTTTAATTGACTAATATGAAAAAAAGCACATGTATCCAAATTCTGTAAATATTGTAACGTGGGTCGGTATTGCGACCCTGATTGTCAACCCTGATTTATTCACGTCAAATTAAATCAGTTACAGAGGTCTGCACATACAGTCAACTCTCTGCCACCCTCTCGACTCTACCACACACTTCTCTTACGCCCGATTCACAGCTCTGTTCTTTCCACACTCATTGCTTATCGCTTGCCACCAATGTCCGCAAGAGCATATCGCTTACAACTCACTTCTACATCCTGACTCACACCTCAGCTATTTTCACAATCTCTCTCCGCACTCTCTTTCCACACACTCCTCAACACTCTCCTCAAAGCAACCACCAACCAAAAAGCTAACTGAGGGCGGAGTCCTGCGCAAGCGCAAGCATCGTCCCTACCTAGGTGAAACCATTCCTGTGCACAAGGCGCATTGCTGGAAATGGTAAACGGTCTTAATATAAAAAACGGAAATTTTCTCGTGCTCGTGTGTACCTTGATGGGAGAAAGATAACATTGACAAATCTTGCAAAAGAACAGAGCTGTGAATCGGGCGTAAGAGAAGTGTGTGGTAGAGTCGAGAGAGTGGAGCCAACTAGAGGTCTGGTGTGGCGCTGAGTAAGGACAGGTCTAATCTGAAATACTGTAACAAAAGTGTACTCCAATTTGAGTTTACACATATTTTTGAAATGTGTTATTTGCTATTTATAATAAATAATCGGCCTCCATATATTGCAGGTACAAACCAATTTTTGTAAAGCTATTTACACAACAGCCAGAAATTACTTTGCCTTATATTTTGTTAAATATTTCATGATATCAAAACATATTTCAAATAAAAACTGTAAATATTCATGAGATCTAAATTTAATGTTGTACACCACTTTTTGTATGATAAACCATGTTTTGTGAAGAGTAATCTGTGCTTCACAAATGTAGGCTTTATATTGAACTGAAAGGAATAAAAATTAAACTCACCCAACAATGTTTACTGCATACCAAGAATACTAAATTTATTTAAAGTTTGAGCACCAATTTCAAAGATGAAAGACTTACACAGACAGACAAACAGACAGATCAACAAGACCTTCACGGTATGATCCTGTTTCATGCACTGTGAAAATAACAAAAATAATATAAAACTGTAATTGGTATTAAAACTTTTAATTAAATAAAACCTAAATTTTGCCTCATGATAACAGACTACATGTTGGGTCTCAAAATTTCAGAATGAAAGGGAACAAGAATCTTCATTCAAATATTTGTGGAGTTCCAAATAATGTTGGTTAGCTGGAATTCTCTAGCATTTAACATTTGACACATTTTAAGAAAATCAAAGCTGTAAATTGCTAAATACGTTTATTATTAAACTGTATTGTACATAGATGGGGAAAATATTTGGTCCCCCTTGCTTCTGTAGTCTTGTGGTTTCTGAATCATAAGACCATCTACTATGATTCTTCATCCAAAATTATTCTTTTATGTAGCACAATGCCAAAACTTGGAAGAATTAATACTGATGGTGTTAAAACACCCAGCTGTGCCACTGGCATGAAATGGACCCACATTTATGCTCTTAAATAGCCAAGCCTCTATCTGATGTACCACACAGATTATTTTTCAAATTACCTTCCATTTGCTAAGAGGTTCTGCACAAACACAATAATTTATACCATGTCCAGACATTGGTGTGATAGAAGTTATTGAAACAGCAAGAGGTACTTGCTTCCAGACAGTTGGATTTATTAGTATACTTTCAGCTTTTGACATATTTTGAAAG